CTTGCACATGAGTTAAACATAGTCTTCCTCCTCCAGTCTAAAATGGAGTTATGCTAAATGGAAGAGCCCTAGGATCAGCTTGAGTTACGTCTGCAGTCTGGGCCCTGTGAAGCCCCGTTTGCCTCCACCGCCATCTTTGTGCGTCAGTCTTTCGTGGCTATTTAAGATGATTAACCCTGCTGTTGTACATTGATCACTCCTGCTCGCTGAATATATTTGGAAATACTTTTTCCCTTCGGAGGTAAAGGCCATTTAGTTTCCAACCAACTGTGTGTGTTCAGACTTGGTCATTAGTTAACCAAATGTGTTGCAGGTGCTCTCATTAAGCTAAACCTAGCTGCCTGTGTGTACGTGTGTGTCTGCAGGTACCAGGAAACTTCCATGTGTCGACACACAGCGCCACAGCCCAGCCCCAGAGCCCAGACATGACCCACAACATCCACAAGCTGGTGTTTGGAGAAAAGCTCCAGGTCAGGACACGCACGACAAACACACCCCAGGAAACAGATACCATATACTGTACCAAGGCTAAACACAGATTCCTTTTGTCACACAGGTCAAAAAAGTCCAAGGAGCCTTTAATGCATTGGGAGGGGCTAATCGGCTGTCATCCAATCGTACGTATCTGCATAGTCATCTAATCCAGTGTGTGACTTTTATGCAAGGGTGATGCAATGAAATGAGACACTGTATCAAATCCTAAGTGGAACCACAGCTGACACTCCATCTCAAATAAAAAAAGGTCCCAGCTAGTTGCGTCATGATCAACACTACATCCATTTTTGGAAATGTTTTACTGAAATGACTCTGCTTCTCTCTTGCAGCTCTGGCGTCACACGACTACATACTGAAGATCGTTCCAACGGTGTATGAAGACCTGACAGGCAAACATAGGTTCTCCTACCAGTACACAGTAGCCAACAAGGTGCCGTCTCTCTCCTATTCTCCATCTTTCCCTTTCCCTCCGTGTCATGCATTGTTTTTGCAAGTGTCAAGGCAGCAGCTTGACCATCCCAGCATATGGCTGGAGCATATATCTCCGTGTTAACTTGTGCACTCACCCAGAAGTGAAAGCGCGCCCCTATTGACTGGAAAGGCTCCCCAGATGTCAACAAACCATAAACACACTTCCTAGAACTGACTGACAGCTGGGTTTGGAGTAATCACCGTGCAGATCAGCTGTGAAACGAGGCAGTGAGCAGAATATTCCCGAATCTCATCGTCAACGTTCAGCTGAGGGACATTTCAATGCTCTAAATGTTCCTTTGGGTGAATTTGGTTGTGTTTTTGCCGTGATTTTTACAACATCAATTGACTGTAGCCTCCTCTTGCTGACTTCATTACTTTAATTCATCCAAGATTCATTTACAAGGAAGCATTTATGACTTTATCTGAAACCAATTCTGTAACGACTCATAAACCCACCACCGCTGGAGATAAGGATGAAATAAAAGATTGTGCTTAATGGATTTCTAAACATAATGGCATTTACCCGTCTCGTGGTTAAATGAATCTGTTTCTCTCCCCAGGCGCAGCTCCAACACTCAATAAATGTTTTGTAACACTTTCCTTTTTGTCATCCCGTCCAGGAATACGTTGCGTACAGCCACACGGGCAGGATCATCCCAGCCATCTGGTTCCGATACGACCTCAGTCCGATCACAGTGAAGTACACGGAGAGGAGACAGCCCTTCTACCGCTTCGTCACAACAGTGAGTGAAGTCTTCTCAGAGCCTTGACAGAATATAAAGATCTTTTGCCTCTAAGTACTAAAATAAACTCAGTTTAATTCAAAGTCTTTGAAAGCTCTTAAATAGTGAAACTGTGATTTGAGGCTTTAAACATATTGCTATTACAAACTTTGGGAATTGGGACATCCTCAAACAACTAAGTTTAAATCAAATCAAATCTAAATGTTTTATAGGCCCAAATCACAAAAAATGCCTCAAAGGGCTGTACAAAGCAAACAACAGAAAAGACAAAAACAAAATACAAACGTCATAGCATAACAATTATAAACACATTATACAACATTATACTTATTTAGACTTTTACTGTAGTTTCTCACATGAATGATTTCTATAGCTATATAGCTAGCTACAGCTATCCCATCTTAGCTTAGCTCAGACACTGGAAACAGGGACAACTCCAACCCTGGCTTTTTTCAACAACTTTACAAAAGAGAAAAACTGTAAAACTATTTCTATTACATTCTAAATTCCTTTCTCTGGCCCCCTCCATACCTGACTTCGTCATTTGAGGAATTTTGGCTGAGCTTGTAACCACCTCACCAGGATGTTTCCTGCTGACTGATACTGCGTCAGGATTAAATTGGCTGCCTGGCTGATGAGCTAAACCGTTATTTGTCTTTTCAGTTGTTTAGGTTTATCATGACTTCAGGCATGAGTTAGGACCTGACGCTGCTCATAGTGGGATCATGAGTCATGGTTAAAGACTGAGACAAGCTGCAGCAGGACTCTTTGCTGGATTCCAGCACATTCCAGTGTATTGTTATAATTACAATGAAATGAGAAGCAGCTGACATTGTAAAAACAGAAGAAAACCTCAAAGATTTGAAACAGCGAGACTGACAGACTTGTTTTCTGTAGATCTGTGCCATCGTGGGCGGGACGTTCACAGTGGCAGGAATCATCGACTCCTGTATATTCACCGCCTCAGAGGCCTGGAAGAAGATCCAGATTGGGAAAATGTCCTGAGGACCGCTCCCCACTCCTCCCTTCAACTTAAATAAAGTGCAAAATAAGCCTGTTAGCTAAATCAAAGCCCACTTCCTTTTGAAGATTGTATCATCGTAACCAACGGCGTGGCTCCGGGTGCTCGATCTAACTACCAGGCTTCAAGACTGCGTCTCCGTTACTGAAGATCCTCTCAGGCTGCATCTGGTGACGCATGGATGCTGACTATCACATGGATGCTGACTATCACATGACTGCTTCTACATCTTTGGTGTAAAGGGAGGAGAGGGAAGCTCTTTTGTTACTGGTAATATGAAGTACTGTGTGTCAAAGTTCAACCGATCTGGGTATTTGAAGGCTGCACTTAAAATGAATTCAAACAAAACAAAAAGGCTGATATTACATTTTCTTTTTTTTATGTGTGTATGACACAAATCTTTAAATGTATTCAATTGTAGTGTTCAGGTTATGGCTGTAAAATGTACAAACAAGACACACTTGTTTTTTTAAAGGATCAGTTCAACCAGTGTATCAGTCAGTTTACCCAGTCACTCTTAATGAGAACAATCATTAGGGAAGTGTTTGGGTACATTAAGCCGGTATGTGAATAGCCTGAACTCTAAAGTGTTTCCATAATTCACACTTTCGATAACAACATTGTGCATCATCTGATGTCACTTTGTTCCATCCAATACACTTTTTTATGGCCAGTTTCTAACCATGTGCCTTTAGGTCACCTCTTCCATGCGTATCCTCAGCTCTCATGTGTTATTCTGTCTGTTTGCAGTGGCTGCCACTAAAACCAGTGTCTTGCATGTTACAACTTTCTGTGTAGATTCACTTTCTAGAGTTTACTTTCAAACCGGTGATCATTGTTTACCTTTCAGTCAATTTAAACCAAATATATCATCAATGCTGTTAACCGTCCTTGCTTTTACCTTTTTCATTCCTTCTCAATTATCTCAGAAAATCTAGAGAATCTCTGTTTTTTTTACGATGGATTTATTGGACTTTTTTTGACCCGGTACAGGAATTTGTTTACTCATTGATAAAGTTGCAAAGAAGAATTGGTTTTGTAAGGAGAACATGTGTAGACCATGATGTTTGGTTGTAAAAAGATCAACGATGGTGATAATCATCAACTGCTCTGTTGAGGTCATCCACTTCCTGTTCCCTCTCAAAGTTCTCTGTAATGTTATTTGTTCCTCGAGTAAAGGTACCATAGAAACCACTGGTGTCTTTATTTGTTCATGTTTCTATAAGCTTGTCACATTCATTCTCTTTTCCTAATTTTTTTTTTTCAGTTTAACAATACGATTTCCAAATTATATTTTATGGTTTACAAAGAAAAATGGAAATAAATGGATAAATAATTGGTTTGAAAACAGAAAATCAACAGCATTCAAGCTGCTTTAGGGTTTAATATCCAAAGCTTCTTTGAGGTGGTGTGTCCAAAACAATCTGGGTCTGCATATTGAATATGAGTTGATTTAAAACTTCACAAGAAGGGAAGGCACATTTATCTCAAGAACTTGTTCCTTGTTTTGGATACATTGTGCCAGCTTGTTGTAGGTTTTAGATTGTCCAACTCAAAAGGAAGTGTTCATCTTCTAGATTGTTATCAACAAAGGAATACTTTTTTATTTCTTTCCTGAAAAAGTACACAATTATTTCCTAATAAAACTAAAGTAGTCAAGTCATGGAGTCAAACCCTGCAGGTTTGCAGACATGTTTCACCTCAAAGGTCTCTGCTGGAACCATTTACACGTGTCACAGTTACACTGAATCTATCCAGTTACCCTTAACAACAATATTATTTATAGAAACTGAAAATGAAGCCTTTGTACCGATTGATTTCTAACTTGAAGCTCTATTGGCTGTACTTGTGTCTGAAGTGGACTTTGCACCCAATTGCTGCAGCTCATTTCCCTCCAGTGTCAACACGCTGCAGGTTGTCATGTGTTGTGGGCGTGTGAGGCTGTCACAGCTGTCATCATGCTTACGTCTAGCTCTGATAATAGGTGCTTAGTCTGACTCACCCCATTTTCCTCACCCCACGTCCCTCTGTTTACCTCCGTCACTTAAACCTTGTTCACCATGTCGCGTATCCACGTGTCTCCACCTCCAGATAATGACACAGATCCTTACATATCTTGCTATTTTCCTTGATTGGTCCACCATGTGGATCATCATTTGTTGACCTGTTTGTTTGTTTGTTTGTTTATTTGGTGACGATAGAAAATTAGCCCTTAAAACATGTATTTGACTGGAGTAATGACAACCTACTAATCAGAGAGAAGAGAGTGAGAAGACAATCATTTTCTTTATTTCCTCCTATATGAGTCATAGTTTGTACAAAATGAAGGAAGAAAACTCTGTATATAAAAAGGTACAAATAGAAATGTGTAAATAGAAAAATACTTAGGGTTTGTTTTTGTCATAATGCTGCCACCCAGTGGCTGGTTAGAGGAACTTCAGGCACATAGAGCTCAGTCTGTGGAGGCAGCAGCCCGAGAGGAAGCGATGATAAGAGGTCTAGTCACACAGATCTACCATTAATAAATGACTTATTACATGTCACAACTGGAACTTTACTAAAGCCTCCCTTACCCTGAGCTTTCCTACTTTTTTTTAAACTCTCCATTCTCTCGGGCTGCCTCTCTGGTAAGGTTACACGTTGGAGGAGGCCAGGCAGTGGGCGTCCGGCGCGGGGAAGAAGTCGCAGAAGCCCTCCTCAGACAGGTGTCCGTACTCATTGTTGTAGAAGGTCTGTCCTGAGAGCTGGCTGAAGAAGGTGGGCCGGAGTCTGGAGCTGCCGGGGTCACTGCTGCGCCCCAAGGAACCATGGGAGGCCGTGAGGGGCTCTGTGCTGCTGCTGCTGCCCATACGGCTGTGGAGAGCACAACATACATCATCTACTGTGGGAGGGTTTAGGAAATCACATGCAAAAATAATCACAAATCTAAATGTGCTACTACAGAAAACCAACATTTAGTTTTAATAACTCACATGCTCGCATATGTTTGAAAGTGGTCGACTTTAAACGATGCAATTAATGTATAAAGTAAAAACCCTTAAAAAATAAACCCAGCTGATACAGGAAGGTATTTAACCTTTTTTTTTTTTACAACTATTTATTCTTGACTGATGTATTCAGTTGGAACCAATTGGGCTGAGATCCACAGACAGGGTGAGACAGTTCAATAGTATCAGTATATTATTAATAATAAACATAATATGACTCAGGATAGGATTGATTTTTGTCTTTCTGGTAGGGAAGTATTTTTGTTACAATGCGAACCCAGTTTTTTTCTATTCTTAATTTCCCTTGTGAGTTGAACGATTGGGAAGGCTTCGTGAAATCCATCTGAGTTAACATGTGATAAATCACTAGAAATGCTCTTAAAGGTTCCCTCTACATCTTGTTGTAAGTCTTATTCCTTACTTTTAGCAAAACACTTTTTAGTGCTCTTTCAAAAATTGTTGAGCCAAGATCTCAAAACTCTGACAAGCGTCCTGGGTTCAAATGACTCAGACTGCTGCTCACTCCTACTTACCCATCCACCCTGCCTCCATCCTTTGCAGATCTAATCACTTATAAAGCTATGACTAATTTCTCCTTGTGTGTCTGCACTGTCTCTAAATTATTTGCTGTGTGTCTCTTGTGCGTCACTGTCGGTTTCAGACAAAAATATGGATAAAAGCTTTTGTTTGATTAACCTTTTAGAGACGGCGCCTCTGTGCTTGTTTTCAATTCTCTCAAATTCTTCCGAGGCCAGAACCATCCCGCTGTCTGTCTGGTTATCCTGGGAAGAGACACAGTTTGACATCATGTGAATTAAATGCCTTGCGTTGACCTGGCTGGTATCTCTGCAACTATGTTTGGTAGTTACCCAAGGAGACAATTCCCGAATGCCATTGACCAAATGTCACATTCCTCTAACAGCTGACAAAAGATCAAGAGCTTACTTGAGGAGCTGTCTGTCGATGCATCTCCAGGGGAAACTCTTCAAATGTCCTGACTCTGGGCTGGCATGCTTTGGAGGGTCCCACAAACACACAGCCGGTAAAGGGCACGCAGTTATAATACCTGCTGAAAAAAGGAGAGGATTATCAGATCAATACATGATGGACAGACGGATAAGGAAAGGTAAAAGAGAGCAATAGGTTATTTTGTTAGGAATAGGTTGTCAGCTCTTTGCTTTTCTCAGTCAGAGGTCTGATTTGATTTCATATCAATGAGTGTCTATACTATATATGATGACACAATTCAATATGCTAAATAAAGTCAATACCAACTGAAAAATGCAATATGACATGTACGACTGGGTAATCAAAAACAATGTCTCATCCCATTAAATAAACGTAAGTTACCTAGTCTGTTTGTGACAGCTAGTTTAATAGGAACAGGCGCTTGGTTTACATTTCAAATCCTGTCTTATTTCTGTAGGTTGCTGTCAGGGTATTAACACAATGTGGAAAAAAGCTTTAAACATTATCTCAAAGGCATTTCAATACTGGGTTGGAAGGTCATATGTTTACTTTTCAAATTGTAATTTACTGCTCATTCTAAGGTGGATAATTCATTTTGAAACTAATTTGAGAGTTCAGGTTACCGTTAAAGATTCCATTTTTGTGCACGTTTCAAGCTCCTGTGCGTTTGATCAGATTTGATTGACAGTAGCCTTGGCAACAGTAGCAAACCACCACACAGCTCTCAACTCATTTACAATCATTCAATGTTCAATCTACTCGACAAAATATGTTTGTCTTTTTTGTTTTCCTGCGATGATGGTTATTCAGGACTGCTTCTTAAGCTCTAATCACACTCTCACAGACTTTTCCGGTGTTTCTAAAGTAGATGACCATGTATTTGTGTCGTTTAAGAGGAAAAGATGCCTGGTTTTGTTGTTGTTATTACTGTCAGGAAATGTACAACCTAACCCTGGTCCACCCAGTAGTAGTAGTCAGATCGCTACTCCTGCTGGTTTTAAAGCTAGGTCTGAGTTGGGTTTCATCCACTTGAATGTGCGCAGTCTGTTAGGTAAACTAGATTTTGTCCGCATCTGGGCAACTTCGACTGACGCTGACGTCATTGTTTTATCAGAAACATGGCTAAATAAATCTATTTTGGCCTCTGACATTGCCTTAAATGGTTATAATGTGTATCGTTCCGACCGGCCTAATAAAGGTGGTGGCGTTGCCATTTATGTTAAGAATAAGTTCAGTGTAACCACATTAGTTTCCAAATCGATCAGTAAGCAATTTCAATTTTTAGCCATAAATATAGAAGTGGCAAAGGGGCAACAGGTCATGGTGGCGGGCTGTTACAGACCCCCCTCAGCTGGCAAGGACTCCTTGTCTTTCGCTAGCAAATCTTTTATCGCAACTAGACTACAAGGAAATAGTGCTACTTGGAGATTTTAACTGGGACTGGTTAACTGCAGTGTCAGAGGATTTTAAAAACCTTTGTATCTCTTTAAATGTTACTCAGATTGTTGACAGTCCTACTCGCCCTAATATTAAGTCCCCTAATAAATCCTCCCTAATTGATCTCATTTGAACTAATGCTCCCTATAAATACTTATCTGTGGGAGTATTTGCGAATGATCTGAGTGATCACTGTGTTGTAGCCACAATTAGGGACACTAAGGTTCAAAAGGTTAAACCTTGTATCATTATTAAGAGATACAAAAAACATTTTGTGGAGCAGGGTTTTGTTCATGATCTGTTTGATTTTGATTGGGGAAAAATCGATCCGTGTGCTGATGTAGAAACCGCATGGTCTTATTTTTATCTTGGTTTTATGGAGATCATTGATAGACATGCACCCCTGCGTACATTTAGAGTGAAGGGACGAGACAATCCTTGGTTTTCTGCTAATCTGTCTAGTCTCTTTCATGAGAGAAACAAGTCCTGGGCAAAGGCTAGGAAATCAGGCTCAGAGGTAGAATGGCTGCGTTTTAGGCAGCTAAGGAATAGCTTCACATCGCAAATCAAAAGTGCTAAATCAAAGTACTATCTGTCAGTAACCACAAAGAATCTGAATAATCCTGGAACATTTTGGAAAGCCATTAAATCGTTATCCACCGGCGATATCCGTAATGAGCTACCTCCGTGCATTACCACAGCATCTGGCTCTATATCGGACAGGGCTACTATGCTAAATTGCTTTAATGAGCATTTTGTGTCCTGTGGTTCTCTATTTGATTCTGTCACTAACTCTGCTTCTGTGAACACTACAGTATGTGACTCTGAAAAATGTGTGTTGGAAAACCCTTTTAGTTTTACTCCTTTTACTGTTGATGTTGTTCGTGAAGCTTTAACCAAGTTAGATCCTAAGAAACCGGCTGGCCCGGACAACGTAGAACCTTTCTTTTTAAAGATAGCTGCAGATTTTATTGCTCCACCTCTCACTACTCTTTTTAAGCTCTCCCTCAGCTCAAACACAATTCCAAAATTGTGGAAGTCAGCGTATGTCCTGACTTTGCTAAAAGGAGGGGAGGCCACCTTAGTAAATAACTATAGGCCAATCTCTAAGTTGTCAGTTCTGGCTAAGGTTCTTGAACGCTTAGTGAGTGAACAGGTAAAGGTGTTTTTATGTACAAATGACATCCTGTCTAAACATCAGTCAGGTTTCAGAAAGCAACACAGCACCATCACTGCCACAATGAAAGTGGTGAATGATGTGGCGAGTATTTTAGATAATAAGCAGAGTTGTGCAGCTCTATTTATTGACCTTTCAAAAGCGTTTGACACCGTCGATCATCACATTTTAAAGCAGAGGCTAGCCAGTATATGTCCAGCCATGCAGTAGGGTGGTTTGTAAACTACCTCTCTGAAAGGTCCCAATGTGTTCATTTTGATGGGCTGTCTTCTGAGTGGTTAAACATTGCTAATGGTGTTCCTCAAGGTTCTGTTTTAGGTCCACTTTTATTCTCCATCTACATCAACAGTTTAGGTGAAAATGTGAATGAAGCTACTTTACATTTCTATGCGGATGATACCGTGATGTATTGTGCAGGTCCCTCCATTAAGGAGGCTGGTGTTAAATTACAGGCTGTTTTTAACATTATTCAGACTCAGCTCTCTGAACTAAAGCTTCTTTTAAATGTTGAGAAAATCAAGGTAATGCTCTTTTCTAAAGCTAAAAAGACACCAGAGCCTGTTTTAGATATTGTAACTACGCAAGGAATAAAAGTGGTTACCTGTTACAAATACCTTGGTATCTGGCTTGATGATTGTCTCACTTTTAAACTTCATGTCAATAACCTGCTTAAAAAGCTGAGGGTTAGGCTAGGTTTCTTCTTCAGAAACAAGTCCTGTTTCTCGCTTGAGGCAAGGAAAAGGCTAGTCACTGTGACCTTTTTACCTGTGCTGGACTATGGTGATTTGATGTATATGAATGCACCTGCCAATTGCCTGGTCAAGTTAGATGCTGCGTATCACAGCGCACTGAGATTTGTGACAAACTGTAAAGCATTAACCCATCACTGTACCCTGTATGCAAGGGCTGGTTTGCTTTCACTAACTGTACGGAGGCTCAGTCACTGGTAAATTTTTATTATACAAAGCCATGTTAGGGAAACTTCCATCTTATATCTGCTCCCTGATCTCACGGAAAAAGTGGCTACTGCCTGAGATCGAATGCTGTTTTATTAAATGTGCCAACTGCTAGGACTGTTTTAGGGAAGACAGCTTTTAGATGCGCAGCTCCTCTGTCTTGGAATAGTCTGCAAATTAAATGGAAACTGAACAATCTGGTGCCACTAAATGTTTTTAAAGCTCAGTTGGATGCTAGTCAATCGGAAGCTATTGGTACCTGTTTATGTGGATAATTATGTAAATGATGCTGTATGGTGTCCTTTTGTTGTTCTATTTATGTTTTTATGTTTCATGTAGAACTACTTGAGCAGGTCTCCCTTGAAAAAGAGATCAATGATCTCAATGGGATTCATCTGTATAAATAAAGGTTTGAAATGAAATGAATGTTGCTAAACCCTGATTGGTGCATGACATCATCATCATCATCATCATCATTACCCAACCAGGTGAGCTCAGACAAAACCCAAAATCTCTTACATGAATTTGTTTGATCATGCAGAAGCACACTCAAGCATGCATGGAACAATCTTTACTTATACCTAAATATATTTTCAGGGAATACAGGATGTAGATATACCTGGTGGGCAGAGTGTTGCAGGGCATCCTCAGTTCCTCCTCAGATGGAGGGCGAGATGAGGCCTGCGAGAAACCGTCATCCTCTGAGCTCTGTGAGTGGTTCAGAGGAATGTAGTCCTTCCCATCCTGAAGGGTAAACAGAGAAAATGTTTTCTAAAAGCTATTCACAAGAACTCACCAACACTTAAAGGTCCCCTAATATACAGTTTTTCATCAATATATTATAGGTCTCAGATATATACAAAACATGTCTCTGAAGTGTTTGTCTCCAAATACCAAACAGATCATTGTAGCATCCCATAATCCCCTCTGTTTCAGCCCTGTTTCAAAAGTGCTGATTCTCTGTCTGTTACTTTAGATGAAAATAAGGAGCCCCTCCCCACGCCCCTCTGAGAGACATTTGGTTAAAAAGAACACAATGGTGCTCTAGGAGGAGATTCAGGTGATAAGGTGGGGGGGGGGGGGGGGGGGGGGGGGGGTTACCTTGGTTGGTGATTGGCTAATGGTTACACAACCCAAATAAATCTTTATGACTTCATAAAGTGGCCAAAATCTGATCAGCTCATTTTCAGACAGAATTTTATATAAATGGATCAGGACAAAAAGTGAGAGAATCTTTTCTCCTGAAACTTTCAGAATCTCTTTACAAAGAGGGGACACATGTTGATGTAGAAAAGACATGAAGGAGTGGATTTTGCATAATATGTGACCTTTATAAGCTATAATGAAGGATTCTCCAGCAGATAACTTACAGGTAGGCTGTTGTCCTGCAGCAGGTCTCCCAGGATCTGAACCAGGGCGGGGAAGGTGGGTCTTTCTTTGAGTTCCCCCTGCCAGCAGGCCAGCATGATGCCGTATCTACCAGCAGAGAGCAGCACGGTCATAACAACACAACACTGGGGTCTCCAGCTCCCCCTCACTCAATTACACCACTGCACATTTCATCTTGTATCCTCCTCTAAATGAGCAAGTCCTGGTTTGCCTTCAGGATTGGCTCGAGTTTGCCAATAAATATAATTTGACAGCAAAAGAAGAGAGAAAAAGAATAAATCAAAGCCCATGCTTACATTTCGGGGGAGGCAGTCTCAGGTGACCTCATCCTCACGCCGTCTTTCAATCGTCGGCAAAAGTCTTCATCAATCTGTACTCCCGGGTAGGGAGACGCACCTGAAGGCAGACAATAGGAGGATAAGACATTAGTAAACATGTCAGAGATATGAAAAACAAGTTATTTGTGATTGGATTACAGTGATAACAATTTACTCTTCCATCTCAATGTTAACAAACAATAATGTCCTCATTAGTTTTGTCAGGATCTGAGATTGATAGGCACTTTTAGAAAGTATAAAACTTCTGGAGGAGATTTCATTGCATCCCATTGATTTTTACACAGATAATGAAACGTGTTTCTTTACCCAGAGAGAAGATTTCCCAGAGGAGAACTCCAAAAGACCACACGTCACTCTGGCTGGTGTACAATTTGTCAAAGATGCTCTCTGGAGCCATCCACTTTAACGGCAGACGAGCCTGAGGAAACATTAAAACACCGGAGCAATATTATGAGACAGACACATTAACACATTGGAAAATCACCTTTGATTGTAACCCCTGTGCGAGTGGTTAAAAAACAAAGAGAAATAAAGTGTTGAATGTTTCCCCCCAGTAAATGGAGATGGGTAATTAGCGGAGGGAGAGGGAGGATGCCTTACATTGCCTTTCCTGACGTAGTCGGGGTCTTTGTATATGTCTCTGGCCAGGCCGAAGTCACAGATCTTCACAATGTTGTTTTCTGACAGGAGAATGTTCCGGGCTGCCAGGTCTCTGTGGATACACTGTGGATACACGCATACATCAAAACCCTGCCAACAGATGAGTATGTGTGTGTGTGTGTGTGTGTGTGTGTGTGTGTGTGTGTGTGTGTGTTTGCATGCATTGATTCCAACATGTTTGAGGCAGTAATGATGTGGAGGAAGTAAATAGCAGTTGGTCATTTTGCTTTAGTAATATGTTGCCTTAAAATCTGTCTGTGTGTGTGTGTGTCTGTGAGCGTGTGTGTGTGTGTGTGTGTGTGTGTGTGTGTGTGTGTGTGTGTGTGTGTGTGTGTGTGTGCGTGTGTTTGCATGCATTGATTCCAACATGTTTGAGGCAGTAATGATGTGGAGGAAGTAAATAGCATTTGGTTTTTTTGCTTTAGAAATATGTTGCCTTAAAATCTGTCTGTGTGTGTGTGTGTGTGTGTGTGTGTGTGTGTGTGTGTGTGTGTGTGTGTGTGTGTGTGTAACTGGGACTGGACTATGTCTGGAGCTCTGTGTCCTGGCTCTCCGTTGTGAGTCAGTCAAACACAGACAGTCTGCTTAGAGTCCGCTCAGATTGTTGATATTTATTACAAACTAAAGCCGCTTTGATAGACACCATTTTATTCCCGTTATTCACCCGATTACCAGTGGATTCACATGTGAGGCAGGGGCTGTTCACAAGAATCTAACGAGTGTACCCACAATCCAACGGAAGCAACAGATTGGATTAATGAAGTCTCAGCTGCCTGAGACAGAAATATAACTCATGAGATCCATTTGTTTTACAGTTCATTAAGTGGAAACGATAATCACCTAATTAAATAACATTTGAATAATAAATAACACAGATTGCATTGCTACAGATTACTCAAAGAGTATATGCTAATGAGTTCAACGTAATCAAATTAAAAAGATAATGTTTACTTTTTAAGATGATATTGTTTATCCTATTTTAAATTGGATTCTCATGTTAATTGTCATTTAAATGTTGTATTGTTATGTTAAATATTCAAGTTTTTATTAAATAGATGTGCAATTTGATATTTTCTATTTTTTTATTAATTCTTAATTTATTCGATTTGTATATACTTTGATTTATCATTTAATTAAATGCCACTATCAAGTACAACAAGGAAGCAACTTGTTTTTATGAAAAAGCATAAATATGTGTTTTTGTTTCCCCAAAAACTGCTACATTTATTTAATGCTTTGCAGCTGTGAGTAGCTTCTAAATCACCTTGGTGCCATGCACTGGGGGACAATATGTCAACCAACAACTGATCCAAAAAACGTCCCTTGGATTTAGTATGGAATATATTTCATTATATTGGTATTATTTAATTATCCTGTGGGATTGTGGAACAGCTATAGTTTATGGTGACTTGATAAATGGACAAGCACAAAGGACTGAGAAGCTGAATGATCCAGGCAACAACGTACTGCCTCTGTGACAACCCTCTGGTGACATTTCACCACAGCTTTTTCACTAAATGTCTCTGTAATGCTGACAATTAACCTTTCTGGAGGCCAGGAACTCCATCCCACGAGCCACCTGGAAACTGTAGCAAATTAGATCTTCTATCGTCAGAGGGGTTTTCCACAAGTCCTCCACTGGAGAGAAAACACGAGGGAAAGGTTAAAGATGGAGAAACAAGGTACAATTAAACTACAATTGTGACAAGACAATGAGTTAAAGATCACCTATTATGCAAAATCCACTTTTTCATGTATTTTCTACATCAACATGTGTCCCCTCTTTGTAAAGAGATTCTGAAAGTTTCAGGAAAAAAGACCCCCTCTCTTTTTGTCCTGACCCATTTATATAAAAACCTGTCTGAAAATGAGCTGATCAGATTTTGGCCACTTTATGATGTCATAACGATTGTTTGGGTTGTGTAACCATTAGCCAATCACCAACCAAGGTAACCCGCCCCCCCCTTATCACCTGAATCTCATCCTAGAGCCCCATTGTGTTTTTTTATTAACCAAATATCTCGTAGGGGCGTGGGGAGTAGCTCCTTATTTTCATCTAAAGTAAAAGATCAGCACTTTTGAAACAGGGCTGAAACAGAGGGGATTATGGGATGCTACAATGTATGATCTGTTTGGAATTTCGAGCCAAACACTTCAGAGACATGTTTTGTATATAACTGAGAACTATAATATATTGATGAAAAAGTGTATAATAGGGGACCTTTAAATAGTTCAATCTTGTGAATTTCAGCAGACTTACTTTTCTCCACAGCAGGACTGTCATTGGGCAGGATGGTTAATGGACCCTGAGGACTGTTGAGCGGTGAGGAGCGTGGAGAAGGCGGATGGCGAGCTCTCGGGTCTATTTGACCCGCCTCAATCATCCGTCTCACCTGACTCTGAGTTTTAGGAGAGCGGTCCTGAGTGCGGAAACAATTCAATGTGTTTAATATTTAAAAATAGACTTAGAAAATGTTGTTCAATAATGGAAACACATATAAAAACGTAAGCTCTCTTCCAGTAAAGAGGATTCTCCCTGCAGTCAGATTATTGCAGCAGAATAAACAAACATAAAAAGTGCATCAGTGGGGTGTTTTATACCCGGTACGGGAGGAAGAACTCTCTCTTGGCTCGTAGGAAGTTGGACAGATTTCCGTACTTGCAATATTCCACTATCACCATCAGAGGACCTGGGGATACAGACACTTTTATTGTAGGCTATTGTTCCACTAATATTTCAACACACATTGTTTTCCTGTTTGCAAAATAGTATCTGCTTCTTGTTATGAAGCAATTTTTTTCACACCATATTTAAAATAGTAACGGTTGGCTTCTGTAAGCAGGTCCTGCCGGGGATTAGCTGCGAGGCTAACTTTTGTTTTATGTTTTAGGGTAAACAGGGTTAAACATTACCAGATGTGAACCCTCGGAAATGTGCTCTAAAGATCAAATGATGTATGGACAGAAAATGAGGGTGTCAAAGAAAAGAGAGGCAGCTGTTTGACTTTCTCACTTTGTTTTTCCCACATGAAAATGTTGGGTGGAAGCTGCAGGGTGGACAAAATAATAGAGAAGGGATTTCAACAATGCTGAAAACAGAACTATATTTAAGCCCGACCTATAATTGATTTTTGGGGCGGATAACGATCACTACACTAGGGAGTAAAATCCTTTTCATATTGGCTTATATTTCTATATATTTTCCTTTTTCATATTTATTATTATTATAATTATTAGTATTATTGTTGTTGTGTATCCAAACTGCAGGTGTATGTGAGAAAACAGCAATATTCTACTTTCTACTTCTACTCTCTAAAAGGAAATTGTCTCAAAAATCATGTAAACATATCTCCTAAAACAGAAAAAGTGCCATAAAAGAAAAATGATCACGTCTACACATTGCTTTTTAAAGAAATCCTGCTCATTGTGCATTCAACCTCTACCAACACTCATCATTATATGGCCATATGACATATTTAAGCACACAAAGTGAAGTGTAATACATGTACAACTCACCATTTGGTTTGGTGCAGGCTCCCAACAGGTTCACCACATTCAGATGGTTCCCAATGTGAATCAGTATCTTTAACTCTGACATCAAGGCCTTGTCCTCGCTGGCTGTGGCTCCATCTGAAACACACACGCACAATTCGAAACATTAGGTATGAAATCAATCTCATTGTTTATATCTTTATTGTTTATCTACCAGGCTGTAATTTTTGTGCATCAGAGACTTCCCAGAAAACCTCCTGTCCCAAACACAAAAACAAATCTCACCCTTCAGCATCTTGACAGCCACCGTGTCCAAAGTGTTGCTCTTGCTGACGCCGATTGATGCCTCAATTACTTTTCCAAAGGCACCGTGGCCTAAAACCTTGCCTGTGTCAGGAGAAAGGAGCAAACAACCACAGAATATTCATGATTCATTGATCAATGCAGGTTTTTAGTCTCATAGGAATAAACAAACAGTCTAGGGTTCGGGAGGGGTTGCATGATGTCAATGCATCTGGCTTCCTTATAGACAAGGGGGAAGGAATTAAAATCTCGATTGCAGCATTTGGAAACAACATGTTCCCATGAGAAGGAAACTGTCGTGGAACAGATGCTTTTCCTCAGAGCGTTTTTAAAAAGCTCTGCATGGAATGAGCACATATTTAACATTAGCACTTCACTTGGCAGCACTTTGCCCTGCTGGCTGCAATCCAAACTCATGCCATTAAGGCTTCTGCAAATGGAAAACTAATTCAGTTTCATCCATCTATTCGCTCTCATCCTGGCCTGCGTATTCCCCCACAAACTCCCTCGCTCCTATTTTTGCTTATGAATCCGAGCATCCATTGGTCCTTTTCTCCCAGCCTTCCCGCCTACTCACCCAGTCGCAGTCTGTCTCTGGAGATCTCCCACTGAGAGGAGTCATAGGGCAGGTATTCACATTGCTCATCCAGAGGCACCTCCCCCGGGTCCATAATGATTGACAGGTAGCCCGTCTTTATGTCTGCCGGATTAACCTGAAATTCAGAGAGAAAGAGACAGCTAATGTCAATCACGATATATATATTTCAACATGTATTGACTATCTGCCAGCTGGGATGTTATCTCTCCAGTTAAAGAGATACTTCCGAGATGTAAGGTCATATTTATGAGGATAAAAAACAGTTTAAAACACATAACGATACAATATTACAAATGTGCTTTTTATAGCTCCTGAGAAGTAGACTTCCAGTGACAAATGAAAGCATATTGCAGCCACATAACCTATTATGGTATGGAAGGCTTTCAGAGCCAGCTGCTGACTGATCACAGTGTGCTTGAACACCTGTGGCCGAGCATTACATCTGCAGTCCACAGCTCTCCATGTTCAATTCACGAGAGGTGGGAAGTAACTAAGTATATTTACTCACTATACTATGTACTATACTTAGGTACAATTTGTAGGTACTTGTACTTTACTTGAGTATTTCCATTATATGCTACTCTTTTACTCCACTACATTTATCTAGTCACTTTAGTTACTTTACAGATACAGTATATATTAATTATAAACAATATGACCCTTAAATAAGACTTTAGTTCCACCTGTGATTAACACTTGAATGCATCAATATTATAATTAAAACATCTAATATATATTATTCTGAAATGGAACAATCTGCATATTAAGTACTTTTGGTATCTTAAGTATATTTTGATGCTAACACTTTCAAACTTTTACTTGAGTTACATTTGACTTGTAACAGAGTATTCCTACACTCTGGTACTTCTCCCACCTCTGAATCTCACAACTGGATCTCATGGTAACTGACTGTGCCTCGTCTCTAGTGACTACGACTTTTTATAAGTCTTAATTATACTGAATCAAGACCTTTTTTGTTTGCCTCTGTCTTTTAAAGAAATACAATAATTATAATTGTTGTTCACTGCACTGTAACTTTTATTCCTGTTCTTTATATCTGCCTTATCCTAATTTAGCGTGTTGTTTTCTATTCTCTTTAATGACTGTTGTATTTGAGAGTCTTTCTTAAGTGTGTTTCCTTTGCACTTTGTCTCAATGATTTTCATGTTTTCTGTAAAGCAATTTAAATTTGCATCAATGCTGAAGATAGCCATATTAATAAATATGCCTTACCCTGTCTTGATAATCAAAAATCTGTCATCTCAGCAGGATTATCCCAGAAGTTTAATATTTTACTGGTGGTTTGCTTTTCTTATATTATTTACAGCAGCAACATATTGTCTCATATGACTCATTCAATCTTTTAAATTCAGTTTCAGTCTCTCCTTTAATGTGAATTCAACACCATGTGCTAAAAGCATACTCGGGAAGCTGTGACATACTGCTAATATTCATTGGGCAATTAAACTGTCTGCTGATGACAGGAGCTGCTGTGATGGCCAGTAGGCTTATATTGAAAGTCTCCTCACGTCTCAATTATGCTTATTTTTAAAAATAATGATATGTTTTTACATTTTCTTATTTACATTTCAAGGCATCCTTACCAGATAGAGTTAATTTGAGAGAGAGGAGAGAAAAAAGAGCCATCTGTGCATACCAATCCATGTCTTGATTAATTTGATAACGACAGCACCGCACTCTGAATCTGCTGCAGAGCAACATTGCGAGACGGTTTAATAAGTGACCAAGAAAGTAAAATAAAAAGCAATTTGGCTTCATTATAGACGACGAGGAGAAAGGACTTCGACTATTTCCTGGCAGCTATCAGTAACTCTCCCGAATGAATACCGTCTCAAAGATCAAACAGATTGTGCTCTAACGCCGACGGACATGCTTTGAGTCAGAGGTTAAAGAGTCTTCGTCACAGCCTGTCACTTTCTCTCACAAACCCACGGACACACACACAGACATGCAGGGGAAATTGGCGCCCTCTCTGACCCGCTTCACATTGCAGAAGATAAGGATGAGCAGAGTCCAGAAGAAGATGGCGATGACTCCGGTCCCGATGAGGATTACAATCTCCACATTGGCCTTGTCGTTTGAACCTTGATAGAAAGAAAGAAAGTCACTTTTGAATGCAAATGTTGTATCTTAAACAACTTTATAGGGCTTTTCCCTCTCCCAGCTGTAGGGGGTGCTACAGTATATCCCAAACAATTGATCCTCATTGAAACCTGCATTGAACTCATCAGGTGGTGCTAAACAGTCTTTTAATCAATCCAGCCATTCATCATGAGTCCACTTCGAGCAAACACATTCAATTATGAATTCCGAGCACGAAATGTCCCAGCAGTCAAACCCGACTTTGATTTTCACTGCGGAAAGCTCAACAAAAAGTACAAAAAATACAGCTGCAGTGAAAAGTGTGAGAGGTGAAAGACTAAAAATCCTGTCTTGTAGATTTTGTGTGTGAAGAGGTGAGCTCGAGGCCATCGGTGTTTTCAGGCCTGAGTGCACTTAAACAAGCATGTCAGGAGCGAGCGAGTGTGAGTGGATTCAGGTGTGTTGTGCGACAGTGTGTGTGAGTGTGTGTCTCACCGATGACCTGGACGGCAGCTGAGGAGTGGACGCAGCCCCGCTGGTTGCAGGCGGTGCAGGTGTAGAGCCCGGCGTCCTCCTCGGTAACCCGCTGGATACTCAGCGTGCGGTTTGAGTCCTGCAGCTGGATCCCTGAAGAGAGACACACACAGCACCGCAACTCAACACTCCACATCAGAAATTCAGCAGCTTTTTTCAACAACATTCCCCGAATACTTACCTCTGGACCTCGATCTGTAGAGTTCATTTATAATTCTCGCCCCTGTGAGGCGAGACACATTTGCCCCAGCAGCCTCTCTGAGAGAACCCAGAGCCTCGGCTGTCACTCACACCCATGTTGACCCTCCATACCACCTCCTATTCTCCTTCAGATGTAAGGAGGAGATGCATGCTGGGAAAGCTAATGAACCATGAATATCTGCCTGCGGGGTTTTATGTGTGGGTGTGCATATGTGCAGCAAACACATCTGCACACAACTTTTTGTCGCTGGTTCTCTTTGATACATTTGCTACACAGTATGAGTGTGTGGGTGGGCTGGTGGGTGTGCATCTGTGTGTTGACTTTTAATCAGGATCAGGACAGAAAGTGTAACAACAACAAAAAGAACACCTGAAGAACACATTATTTTTGATCTTTTATCTAATGTCAGAAAAGCAGATGGGATCTCTTGAGTCCTTCTAAATCAAGGTCCAAGTTGCTGTGTTATGGCGCATTTCCACTGCAGCGGGTAGCCCCGTTTAAGCGTCCTTAACCGTCCTCAAGCGGCCAGGCCAGTTTTTGGTGGCCTTTCCATATAGCCTAGTACCGGCTAGCGGGTACTTTTTCCCTCTTTTTCCGGCCCCATAAAATCGTGGTTCTATCAGACCAGGGCCAGGGCTGAAGAGATTGGTCAGAGAGAATCGTCACAAGATCGCGCGCGAGTTCATCCCTAGCGTCGCATATATATTTAGAAGCAAGCTTGCAGCATTTTTATAAACAGCATTTTGTAAACGGATGAGCTACAAAAATGGCTACGTCTAATAAGAAAAGCACACCGTGGTCGACCGAGGAGGTGACGACGTTCCTACATCTCATTGGGGATGATCAAATCCAGCGGGAGCTCGACGGAACAACCCGAAATGTGAACAAAAACAAAGCCGATCGCCCCGCCTACACTGCGTTGCTACCCCAGGTCCTAAACTGTAATGGAAATGCGCCACGGCCTCGGACGGCCAGCGAGGCAGCCCGAGGCCTGAGCGAGGATGCTTAGGGACGCTTAAACGGGGCTACCCCGTTGCAGTGGAAATGCGCCATTAGACTGTACAGTACGTGTGGGTTGGAGGGTGGGCGGCAGCACTGTTGTGTAAACGTGTGCATCACCTGTGTGGGTGTATTCACACACCTGACATTTGGTGGAGAGGCTGGTTGTCTTTAAACCAGGAGAGCAGGGGCAGAGGTCGGCCCTCCACGTCGCACTCCATCCGCAGAGACTCCGTCACGTTCACCGTCTGGTTGGTGAGGCTGAGCTTGTATCGAGGCGCCTCCGGAGCTACAGGGACAAAGAGAGGCCAAAAGGCGGAGAAATACCAGGAGCAGAGAGAGAAGGGAAATCAGCACTTATGACTTGTCTGAAATGAACATGTTTCATGGTTTTGAACAAAGGTCAAAAGTAAACAAATCCCATTAAAATGTACATCTACCCTCCAGAATATGATGCAAGGTTGCAGCACACGAAATGGGTGAATCAGGCATTTGTTTGTGCATTACAGCCCCTCAGCTCTGTTCTCTGCTGCTATGTGTGAACTGTGCAAACACCAGGTACTCTTTCCATTACGTGTGGATGAGGGTATTGGGCTGCGTGGGCTTAGAGAGAGTGTGTGTCTTTTTAAGCCTCCAGCATCTCAGCACAGGCTCCATTGCGACCTGTGTGTGTTTCGCCTGCCAAGGGCTGAAATGTTCTCTGTAATCAGCTGTAGTTGAGAGTGACTACTCTGTGCACCGGGCACGAGTGTGTATCTGTGTCTGGAGCTTTCTTCTCATTCATGTCTCACCTTTTACAGAAATGTATCTGAACAGGCACTGTTTCTCCCCGCTGCGCCTGCTCTGAGCCTCACACACATAATGACCCTCATCCTGCATCTGTATGGAGGGGATGGTGAAGTCCAGGACCCAGCTGTTGGAGGGCTCCTGGAAGGAGAGCTGGCCTTCGAGGGTGTGGGCGTAGAGGTGCACGCTCCTGCAGTCCAGCTCCCGAGCCTTGCCCTGCTCGTCCTGCAGGGCCTGGGGGTCCAGGCGGTACCACTGCAGCTGCTCGTAGGTGTAGTTGTCAGCGCTGCAGCACAGGGACACTCTCTCCTGCTCCAGAAGATCCTCCGAGGGGTGGACGTCCACACTGAACCCCTCAGGGATGGCTGTGAAGAAACAGAGAAGGGCAGGTGGGGCTGTTAACTTCCCTAACAACACAAAGCTCTTGTGTGGACATGAACATTGAGTCCTTGAATAAAATCTATTTTTGGCACGGTTCATTGGTGAAAGAAGAATAGAAAAACTGAGAAAATCCTAAATGATTTGAAGTAAGTTGTGGCCAAGTTAAACAACAGGAATTTTAAAAAAAAGGCTGTGTAATTTCTCATTTATATTTTCGTATGCTTTCTTGATACATAGAACTTGCATTATACTTTACAAGGGTTTGAAAACGACTTATCCAAATGTTCTTCAAGAATTCACCAGTGAGTAATTTACCAATGTGTATGTGCTCTTTTTTTTGGTCAAAAGCAGGGTAAAATCTAACCCGACATACTTACTGGTCACATAGAAGTAAATCAGCCGCTCGTCTTTGCCAACTTTGTTTTCAGCAGAGCACTTGTACATGACGGAAACACTGGCGTTGCCAATCTGGAGCCTGCTGACTGTCTGTGAGGTGAGAAAAGGTGATGAGTCTTGAATTTATCAGAAGGAAACACACATGTTCTAAAAAGGAAATCCAGTCTGCCATCAATGTGTGGATGTGGATTCAATGTGAGCTGACATAAATCTGATTTTGAGGTTGAAAGGCCAGCATGAAGCCTCCTTAATTAGGTGTGGCTGAAAGACATCAAAATTCTGCAATGGCTGCATGTGTTCATAAAATAAAATGCCCTCTTATTGTTGTGGATGTGCACATGAGGCCCCTGCAAGCAGTCCTTACAGGAAGTTGGCAGAGGAAAACTGTTCTAAATATTTTGTATGTGGAAATGGTCCATGACTGAGAAATGTTGTTATGGATTTCAGAATTTAGGAGACTTACATAAAAGCCTCACAGTTCACAGATAAAGCCACTCTATATCAATGTGGTGTTTACTCAGCAACGACCAGACGATAATGTCATTCTTTTACGGAGAATTCTTAAAAAGGTTGGCTTTTGCTTAAAACGGCAAGAACAATCAAACAGCTGTGATGCACCTTTTGTCGGCCATCCACCACCTCAACCGCCGTTTCAACCGCCTCGATTTCATTCATGCCGTTCTCCCAGTTAATGTCCTGCCAGTTCTGACAGTCTGCGATCCTGTCACTCCGGCCTTTCCTGTCTCGCCGGACCCTGGAGAGAAACACACACACACACACTTTCATGACACCTCGCTTCATTAAGATGCACATCACAGAGCTGGCAGTGGGGAAGAATTCAGAAGCAAATCAAACCAGACATCCTATGATTTTATGAAGAAAAACAATTTGTATGTACTGGGTTGCATTTCAGATCAGAACATGAGCTCAATCCCAAAGCAAAAAATGCAATTATAAGTGTCCTGGCAACTAATGTTAAAAGTATGGTGTCAGTTTCCATTATGACGAACCATGGTGTGACTGTGAACATCTTAGCAGAACTAATAAAACGGGAAATGGAAAAAGACACCGGCCAACTATTAGCAAAAGGCAATAAAGATTAGTTTATTTTTACAATCTTCATATCGTATTAACTGTATACACATTTCATAAATAAAATATAACTTATTTTAAATGATCACAAACAAATTATTTGTGAAATAAACTGGATGATAAAACCTGTTTTAATTGCTGGTCGTTACAATCAGTATAAGATGCTATTGCCACTATTAGAATATGGAAAAACATACACCACATTTGTTTTTGTCACTAGGTAGAAATTACATCGACTTACATTCATTTCCTGAGTCTTTTCCTAACCTTAAATATGATTGGTGAATTCTGGTGGTTTTAATTACACAAATCTTCCACTAAACACATATTACACATGTTGGGTTGTTAAATTCCGATACTGATATTGTTATGGCCATGATTGCGGCGTGGCTAAAGGAATGGCAATGATGGTCAGAAGTTACAGACTCCCCGGTAAAGAAATAGTCAGCACAGAACAGCGTGTTAATCATACTTTGATTTTCAGATGGATTAAATTATCAAGGTATGATGTGCTCATTAGTGAGCTTAAGAGGTGCTGAAAGGCCAGGCTACAGGTTTCCTCTAGTTACAGTCTTTATGTTCATCTTAGTTAACCTTGCTTGGCAGTAGCCTTATATCAAGTGTACAGACATAAAAGTGATAATGATCTACTACCCACAAGGGACTGAGAAATGTAAAATATCAGGGGGGAAATCACTCAAAATATGTCCATGAATAACACATTTTATTTTATGTCATTTTGAAAAGACTCTTAGGCTTTGCAGGGAATGGTGCTCGCAACAACTAATGTGAATTCAGTGTCTCGCTCGAAATGTTTTACGTTCAAAAATAAATAAATAAAGGAAATTCAATTCCTACAGCACACGCCAGAAAGGGTTGGCACCCATGAAATGTCACATGAAGTGTACAGGAGACGCCACATAAACTGGTCTTTTGGAGTTTACGTTAAACCTAATCTTCCACTGTGGTGTATTTCTGAATGTAGTATCTGAGCTCCTCATTTCCACACTAATGTTAAATTCCAAAAGAGAAAGGTCAAGAGAAAAGTAATAACTTGAAAGGTTAAGGCTTGGAGGAAGATGGAGGAAGATGGAGGCAGGGGAACAGTTGAGGGATATTCAGCAGAAGCGGTCGCATTACCGGGGTGGAAATAACTGAAATCTAATGTATAGGGCTGTGCAAAGAATCCATTACATCACGTTGGGGGACTGAGCATGTGTGTGTGTGTGTGTGTGTGTGTGTGTGTGTGTGTGTGTGTGTGTGTGTGTGTGTGTGTGTGTGTGTGTGTGTGTGTGTCAAGAAGTCCTCCAACTCATACGACCAAATGGGCTGATTGTTCAGGCCCTTATTACGACCAAATATGTTGTTTGTTCAAGCGCTTAACACGTCGTTTAAAGTTTTCGCCCTCTAGTGCTCCCGTTGAATGCTAACGTTACAGATGGTCGTTTATTCACAAATAAGCCTCTCTGGAAAATCCTAAATTGTAGGATAGTTTGGCCATTAAAACGCTTTTTGATTAGATTTCTAGCGAGAAGTGTATATTGTACTTTTAGAATCCACGTCCAGTCGATATGTAGGATCTATAGTTTGATAGATATTACGAAGATGATTTGAGGTATGCGGCAGCCTCCATGTAAAGTTACGGGTTGAAAACAATATTTCCGGTCTCGACGTTTTTATAATAAAACCAATGATCAAATGATTTAACAGTGATATCTGCAGTACTCATCAACTAAAAAACATCAGTTTATCCTTGTTAATTATACGAGATTTATTGGTTTAAATTGTGTACAATGCTTTTGTGTTTTTCCCATAGGTTTTTCTCTTTCGATTCTGAGAGACACCTTTCTTTTTTCAGAGGTTTTGATAGGCTAAAACGTCGATTGATTAGCCGCAATGCATGTCGGGATATGGTATTTTTGCGATATGAAATAAAAATAAAAAAATTGAAAAAAAAAACATACTTTATTTCCGAGTGTTCTTGCTTTTCTCTTTGGAAGTCATCACATAACGGCATTGTAATACACGGTTCGGCTGCATTAAATATTACATATCTGCCGTAGATATTTATTTATAGAGCCCTGATCAGAAGACCTTTTGACAAACTGTAAGAAATGCCGCCAAAACTGAATACGTGACGTGGATCATAAATATATTAGCAATTAAACAACATCTTCCATTTCTTTTCACACAATACGTCTCCTTGCAGTATCAACACTAATTCGGCTGACTTGATCCAATTGGTAGTTATATTTACACCATAATGGTGCACAGCTGATAGAAAGGGATTTTTTTGTAGTTTTTAAAGATATTATTTACTGAACTACCTTTCCAACTCCTCATGCAGTTGACTGTTACAGGTCTATACAGGTTCATGGTACAATGCATACGCTTCTAATCGAGAGACTGAAACTGTATTTCCCTTTACCGTTCTGTTTTAATTTCACAATAAAGTTAAGTCATATTATGTTTGATATTATTATGTTTTATTAACTAGACCACTGTTTTTTTTAACCCGCACCGCCTAGTGGTTAAAGCACGTTATTGCATTTTGTTGTTGAATAAGTTTTATTTGATGAAAACATTTAAATATTAAGAGTAGCCTACATACAAAATTGGGGGAAAGTAGAAGGCATGATATACATATAGAATAGAAAATATCAAGAAGATACTGTAGTGATCTCTACAATAAAACAGTTTAGTGCAGGACGTCCAAAGATATTAACAGGAGGATGTGCAAAACAGACAAACTAATAAGGCTTTATTTAAACATTAAAGAATACTTTAAGTTAAGGTCTTCTTTTGAATAAGATAAAAACGTTGGGGTTATCCACAGATAAATATGAAGTCTGACAAAGTACTTAACGTCCAATATATTGCATAGCTTATTTTGGCACTTGACAATCACCTTCCCTCAATTTGACTCAGGTGTAACTAAAGTCTGATTTAACCTCTTAAGCCCCACGGACCCGAGCTCGGGTCCGAAAATGCTATATATGTAGCAACAGTGCTATATCTGAAGTGTCATTCATGAAACTATTAATATTCCATACCCATCTGACCGGAGGAAACTTGGCTTACTGACGATACGAAAACAATTATTTTTTTCGAAAAATAAGTCTCACAAGAAGCCTCTAAATGACCCCATGTCAAAAACGGGCAATTGCTATGTCTGCTCATAACTCACAAAAACGATCATTTATAATTCATCCTTTCCGCACAAACAACACATTTTCTGAAAGCTGAGATTCCACAGATTCCATGGGTGTACACCCCATCACTACAGGCACAACATTAACTGAGCTGGCAGCCACAACATAGCAAGTAAACAATATCAGTTTTCAAATCCCTGACAATAATTAGGTCTTACCTTGGCTGTTTTGTGATGAAAAGTTGTGTTCAAAGGAATACAAACGCTGCTCAGGGTTAATCCAATGTCTCTTGTCACTTTAAAATGATTACTGAGAATCAATCCTTTCATTCACGGCAGAAGAGTAGGTCCAACGATTAACAGTCCGTGGATTCAGCTGCGGGAGCTGCTTTTTACGCATAGCTCCCCCTCCGCAGGCATGACGTATTTACGTAATTTGAAACTGCTACTCGAGTCGATTGGCTCTAACGATTCAAAAAAGGTGTCAATCACCCAAATCGACCAATGGGTTCCAGAGATAGGAGTTTGCGTAAGTATAAATAAAGGCTGTATCAGCTGATTTACGCACGACCCAGTCTTTGTACGCTGCATACTAGGCTATAGCGTAGCATAGCATGTCCCGCGGCGACAGGAGAGCAGAGAACGGCAGATCGATCAGCGAAACAGCAGGATTTGTTTTCTTTGTCTTCATTGTAACAATGGCAGCCAGAAAGAAGACTTTTTTGTCCGTCGAGGAGGCATTGGACATCGTATTTCAGGACTCTCCGTCGGAAGATAGTGATCTCGTCACGCACGAAGGGGACAGTAATGACTATGATTATGAACCTCCGTCACCGGAAAGGTATGGGTAACATCGGTAACATCCGGTTTCACTATGAGTGGTCGCATTTTCGAGAGCTCCCGCTTTGGCGGTTATTCCTCACGATTTTTTACATATTTCATCCTCCTGACAATATGGATTATGGACTCCTACCTCAACTCACCAATGAGGCAACATCACTTAGAGAAGGAGAGTAATGAAAGCGGGGATACAATGAACCACAATGACTTTTACCTTCTCAACGGCTGGGAAAGGAAACACCTCGCTTTTGGAAGTGCTAGCATTCATGCATTATTAACTGCAAACCCGACGCGAAAGTACTTACCCCCGTCAGGCAAACTAGACCGAAGAAGTATGATCGTCTTGGTCTTATTGTTAGCGGGAGACATCCATCTGAATCCGGGCCCGGTGCAGACAAGAAGCCAGTCCTGCAGGTTCGAGCAGCTAGCATCACAATTAGCATCAGAACTAGCATCTCTTCCGCTGCAACAACAACTACGCGACGACAACAGAGACCGTGGAGACAGCGGAGACCAAGGAATAAACGGAGACTTTGAGATTCCCCCGGGGACGCCTCGGCAGACAGACACGCATGAGGCAGTGACGAGAGGAAGAGAACCGAGATCCGAGGGAACAAATATCCGCCATGTTGTTAGCCATGTTGTTAGCCACCCTGCTAGCATATCAACGG